AGCAAGGCTTCAAACTGATAGAGGGCAGGTTTATACTAGATACTATGAATTCTTTACTGTGAGACTGGTCAGACACTGGAACAGGTTTCCCAGAGAAGCTGTGGATGCCCCATGCCTGGAGATGCTCAAGGCCAGGTTGGATGGGGCTTTAAACAATCTTATTCTAGAGGATGGTATCCCTGCCCACAGCAGGGAGGGCTAGAGTAGATTATCCTTAAGGTCCCTTGAAACCCAAACCATTCTATATTTCTATACAGCAAGACACCAGTTGGGCCAGCTACTTCAGCTTGATCCACTACACAATTTTTCTTCAACCTCTAAATTCAGGGTAAATACCACATTGACACAACTACAAATGGGATTCTTGGATTCAAACCAAACCAAAACCACGCAGATAAAATCCAACTGGTTGTAAAAGGACAATAAAAAGTTTTTAGAAAACAGAAAAAAATATGCTAATACATTTTAGGAGTATCCAGGAAATTTTTTCTACACTTTTCATAGTCAGTTAGCATTATCTTTCTATCTGTAAGAGGATTAAACGCAACACCTATTTAAAACACAATGGTTATTAAAAAATCTTAAGAGGAGATGACAAGGCTCCGATTTTCCCTTTGGTTTAGCAAAGCATCCAATGGTATCAGCATTTCCCAATAGGATTTTTCCAAAGGATTAAAATTTCCAATACCCAAACTCTTTAAAAAATCAGTATCTGAGATGAGTTGCAGGAGCTCAGTTTATTGCAGGCATCACAAATGCTGTTCTAGTTATTGAAAGTAAGAGCTGACTCAGTAAGCAGCCCTTATTAGGCCTCCCATGACATCCCCAAGAAACTCCAAAAAGCAGCAAGGAGACAGAGCAGATACAGGACTCCTCCACGGTACAAGCATGCCAAGTGCAACCCCTCCTCTGCTCCCAGGGCAGCACAATGATGTGTCCTATTCCCTTTGCTTCACAGAACGGTATCTGTTTGGCCAAGAAAATAGGAAACAACTTTATTAAGTGTTAAGACAGTCCTGGTAAAACACAGCCTGTAGATCTGTCTCTGTGAAGATATCCACCTGCCATCTGAATATCTTCTTAGCACTGCCCCAGCATCTCTGTGGGCAGAGAGCAAAGCTCTCCTTCCCACCTCTTCTGTGCAGTACATGAGATGTAAGGTGGGAAAGATCAGTGTGGCCATGCCAATACAGTATTAACTTCATTTGCAACTGTGTAAAACCTGGCCTTCTACTTTATCAGCAATGTGGAACTATTTTTTTTTTAATAAAAATTTTTAAGCAGCATTCACTGCAGCAATTGTGCTTTTTCTGTTAGTCATCTCTAAAACTAGCATAATTTCCTCAGTGCTTGGATTTAATTCTATTTTTGCTGCTACAGGGGCAGATCACAACTGATCCACATGTTAACTCAATAGACAACAATTAGAAATGTTATCTATTAATCATTTAACAACACCAAGCAGCAACTGCATGACACTAAACTTAAGAATGATTTTCCTGAAAATAAGAAAGAGTAACTGGAAGGTAGAAGAGATACATGAACTCAAACTTAACAAATCCAACAAACTTTCTCCTCTTGATGGTAATACATAAATAAGATCCTCTACTTGCATCTCTGTAGGGAACAGAGTGCTAGTACATAGATGTTCATGTCAGCAGGGTTTTCACAAGAGCACCCTTAAGGCAGGCAGCAAGGGGCAGGGTAAAGGCACTTTGTTAAAGAGCAGTGAATTATTCACACTGATCAGTGCTGCAGTCAGCCCCTACTGGACACAGGCAAATTCACACTCCCTCATCAGCCTCACCACCAACCTTCATTTTATGAGCCTTCATAACTTTCTGTAATCAACATCTTTTTTTCTGTCATTCTGATAAACGTCCAGTGGCCTAGACAGCACATCCCACAAACTAGAGAAGGTGTAGCTTTTCAGCATTGCTCTGACCTTCAGATGTAACTGAGAATCAAACTCAGGCCTATCACTTGGAAAATTCAGGAAAAACAAAGGAATAGGAAGTTAATTATTTCAGTCCACGATGCAGAAGTAATGGGATTTCCTTTGAATGCTGTTTGGCATGAGATCATACACTGAAACTCACCAGCTGTTCCCATTTACACTCAAGAGGGACTACTCAGACATGGTGTTATCATATATCAAGTTGCCCTACTAATAAAAGATAGGTCAAGCACTTACCACCCAAAACTTCAGGCAAGTTCTGTTACACTACAATTGTGACACATCTGTATACCTTTCTGAAGAAAAATCACCAGGGATCAGACCTCCTCATAGGCAAAAATATTTGAAGACATTGTGAAAGGATTCATATGAAATAAATAATTGAAGCTTTAAGATCAGGTGAATGTCTCATGAGCAATTAACAGATGTAAAGCCCTTGCTTCTCATTTGGAGCTACTACAGGAAAGAACTTCAGCATTGGTAGTACCCACATATTATTGCTGCAGTCCTGGTAGAGAACGCCCCACCACTCTTTCACCCAGAGCAGCTGACAGAACTCGTGATCAATCGCACGTTCAGAGTTCAACTGTGCCAGCATGTGAAAGGTATAGGAAACGTCTAGCATCATCTCACATGGAGTTTGCTTAGGTTAAGGTAACATTTGACACCAGCATTCCAGCAGCCTCATTAGCACTTGACCAGATGGCATCAAACTGACTTTCCAGATTGCAGGCATGCACTTAGTATGCTTGTCAAGGGACAGAGGGAGTTGTCTGACTGTATCACTGACACAAATACACGAGGGAGTCTGTAAATAGAGGTAAACTAAGACTAAAGTCTTTTGCAAGCACACAGCCTTGTATTTTTATGCCACAAAAATTCACCTCTCCTTGTAGTTTAATTGATGTAAAAGCCATAGAGCTTTGACAGTGTTATCCTTTCCCTCAAAGAATTTGCTTATGGGGCCATCGTGAGCCTTTGCATATCATATAGTTCAAGAGGGCTTGCAACAAGAGCCAAGAAAAATCTATAGCCAGCTGGCAATGCCTGGGAACGTTTGCAATCTTTCTGTTCAGTTTACTGGATTTATCCTCCCCCGCTCACCCCCTCCCAGGGCTTCAAAAGAAACCTGACTGACATTTTTATTACTATGAAGAGATGAAACCTGAGTTACATTTCCCTATAAAGCAGGAAATGCTGTCTAGCAAAGCCTGCTGAGGATCACCTCTCCTTGCAGAGGTTACACAGCCCCAGCAGACTCACCAGCCTTTAACTAAAGGTAGTTTACATCTGGTAAGTCTCCAAATACTCCCCAAGCTGCTTCCTCAGCCCACACCAGCCAAGGTCTACTTGCACAGGCTGCCATCTGTGACTGTTTTAGAGGAAAGCTTAGTAATGTGTCTGACTCAAGACTATTTTTGGGGGACTAGACAAGGTGGCATTTCCAATCTGAATAATATCCATTTTTGCAATGAAAACTTGAATTCAAAAGTTATGGGTCCTCTACTGTAAGATCTTCTACAATTATTCTCCACACAAACAGACAGGATTCGGGGTTATTATATACCTGCCAACTCCTCTCATCTAATTCTAAGGGAAGCTGATGCATTCACTTCTGCTGAATCATTCAAGATGAACAATAAGTAGTCAAGGAATAAATAAGAAGTTATACCCCAGAGACAGAAGTTTGAAAAGGAGATAGGAAAAGGCCTTAAGGTAAACAAACTTCTTCAAAGATACAGCCTGCTTTTTGTGCAAATACTCAAGCCTTGTCAGCAAGTAACAGGAAATTAACTACTAATTGCAACAGGGCAGGTTTTCCTTCTCTTTGCATTCCTGGCACCAACAGTAACAGCACAGGGCTATCTGTCCTGCCCTACTAAGTCATGCTTAAATTTTGAAGTCTTAATTTTCTCAATGCAAAAACAACGCAGAACTTGTTTTAACCTTTTAGCTCTCCATAGCTAAAGAGGCATCAAATGGGAAGCAACCAAAACTACTGTAAATGGAAAAGGGAAGTAAAGATACAAAGACCCTCAGTGAGTGGTACTTCTCCATCTACCCTCAGGTAGAAAAATGCCAGTTATTAAGTGCTCCTGTCACACAACTTGTTCCCAACTTAGCTCTTCACTTATCAGACTGACTCCAAAATTAGTTGTCTTCTACTGTGATAAATTAAACACTTACTTCTAACACTATGTTTAGTACAATCAGGCACTAAATTCATGTAATTAGCTCAGAACTTTAAATGACCATCATCACCCTGAGCTTGTGTAAAGGGTTGTTTAACAGATACTGAAGTCAAAAGTGTAGTGTTTCTGAGACACTATCAGCCTTCAGATGCTGATGCATCTAAGTTCTTCTCCACCTCTCCCTGAGCATGCACAGAACCATGTTAAAACAAAATCTAAAAAAATATTTCTGAAAGCAAGATGAATACCTAAAAAACCTGTCGTTTTTATCCAGTGATATAGTCAAGCATTCAGAAGTAAAAATTCCTTTCCATTTCAGTCTGAAAGGTGAGAAGCTACAGAGCCTGCTTTTAGGTAAGAACTGGTAAGGAACGCTGCCATTTAGAGCAAGTTAAGTTACCTCAAAAATCAACCTATACCTCCCCCAACCCATTTCCTAAGAATTCAAACCCCTTATCCATATGTCATTTCTACACAGTTCATAAGTCACACACCACCTGCTAGTTGACTTCTTCCAGTGTCAGGAACAGGTAGGGTCTCCAATTGATATCTTGTGTGCAAAACTCAGAGGAGTTCCATTGCTCTACAGTAATTCTCCTTATTTCCCCCAGTTGAGATTTGGAATGCTTAGGTTCTTCAGTATGAATTCTTTTTGCAGGTTCTGGACTCTTTTTGTCCAGTTGTGTTGCAATAGTGCCAAGAAAAACCCAAGAGGGGTACCATTAAAATGGTAGCTGGGGAGTTAATACTTTGATTCAGAGGTGTCACTCTCCAGACAGCGGAGAAGTCCCATGAACCAGTTAATCCCCATCTGTGTTTATGGAATTCAAAATTTAAATGAAATTACTCTGTTATATGAATAGTTGTTTATTCAGCCATTTTTTGCATTTTACAGCTGGAATTCTGGAAATTCAAACACCACATCTTTGCCTGTGAGCTTCTTGTACACACCAGAAAATGTTTCCACCTGTGAAGACAAATAAATCTTGCTTATACATGCTGTGTAAACAAGTAACTCTAAGTAAACATACTTAAGGTACTATACTATTTGCCAGTGTATCTTCACTCTGAGGCCAATTATTTTCTTCTATATTAAGGTAGCTGAGGATTTACACAAAAGATACATTTCCTCTAGAGTATTTGGGCTCTCTCTGATTTTCAACAATGTGAGACCCTAAGAGCTGAGCAGGCCCGAACACAAGCCTCCCATTTCAGAAAAAAATCAAGCGAAGTGCAAGCTTTACTGAGCACATCTGTTTCAGGTCAAAACTAAATGCTTCACTTGAAAAACAACAAAAACACAAACCAACCAACCCAAACAACCCCTATTCATACAAAAAACCAAATAAAACACTGTCTGGTCCCATGAGGGAACCAATACAACTACTTCATAATCCAGGGGCTTTGGCAAGTTGAACTAGAGCTTTAGCTCAAAACTGTTTTGCCTCTATTTCAGCACCTTACTCCAAATACAAACCAAAGCATCTCCACAAGCCGAAAGGCAAGTCTTTTCCTGTATCCCTAAGCCGTCTCTTGGGGCTATCAGAATGTCCCCCCCACCTGCATGAGAAAGCAAGTTTTTTTAATTTACCTTGTGTTCAACATTGTTCTGTTGTGCTTTGTCCAGATGGACTTTTATAAGCCTGCTGCCGTCCAGTTTCACGCGGATTCTCTTGCCCACGATTTCACTGGGGAAGACCAGGTCCTCAAGAATGGCATCGTGCACTGCAGTAAGTGTACGGCTGAAATGGCACATTTAGAGTGTTAAAACACATCCTCGTGGAAAATTCCAGTTTGATGAGGTTTAAATCTTCCATAGCATGCTCTGGCTGAAAATTCAGAGGCTTTTTCTCTCTTTAATGCCACAGTGTGACAATACAGCACTATCACAGGGCATGCAAAAAGAAAAGCTGAATTCTACAGAGTGCAGAAACTTAATGACTGCACAAGAAGAAGTAGCCAGGTTTCTGATCTTCTAGACCACACATTGATTTCCAGCAAGAGCCCTAAAACATACTTCTATTTCTACACATTTAATAAAAATTTAAATCAAAACCAAATTGCTCCATCTGCAACTCTGCCAGAGACACTGACTGGAAAAGTTTAAGTGGACAAGTATCCTCAGCTGCACAGAGTACATTCATGGGAGACTCAGTTTTGGAAACACTGATTTCTTCATCTGCCTAAAGCCAAGCAGCTTAGAAGACCAACGTAATACAGAAAAAGACTAGCTGGCCAATTGAGTCCATACTTAGAAGACTGTTTGAAATCTACTTGTGTGTTCCTGAACTGTCCAGAAGTGAGCCAACACGAGAAAAGGTGGCCCAGGTTGTTTTACGTGAGTCTAGATGGATTACTAAGTCTGCAGCATCCTGATCTAGTTTCAGGGCAGTATCACTTGTAACTAACACCTGTGTCTACAGCAGCACTTCACACCTGCCCACACTGGCATAGCCAAGGGAGACAGACATCCACAACAACACAGCAGCCTGAGCTCATCTCAGGCTGAGACAGGGGCAGTCCTGCACACTGGCCTTTCCTCATGCAGAAAGTGGCAGCGTGCTACTCAGACACAAATGCCAACTTCTCTAACCACTGTGCAGTGCTAACTTTAAAAGAACACAGGCAGAGTCTTCCAAAGGCAGGACTGCAGCTAAATGAGTATTGTGAAACTATACTTTTAAAATCCATGCCTGAAGACTGCAAAATACAGTAACACATGACACAGGTATAATACTGGGGGGGGGCAGGGAGAAGCTACAAGACATGTCACATGTCATAAAGAGGACAAACCTCTAAGACACGGACTTACATAATGACATAGCAACATACAGATGAGGCACTGACACCCAGAGACGTAGCAGTGTTGCATGTCTAGCAATCCAGTGACTAGATGAGAGCAGGGAGGCCATTTAACACAAATTACTATACTATTGCTATCAAATTCATGTCCAGAGGGACTAGTACTCATACCTACACCCCTCCTCAGCCACTCTCTCCCTCATTGCATCCCCTTCAGTGTGCCAGCCTTGACTTCTGCACACAGTCTAACACGTGATGTGGAAGAGGCTCTTCCTACAACTTAAAAGAAAATAGTTCTTGTCAGCACACTGTGGTAACAGAGACAGCAGGGTGGGTTCCTTAAGCCAGCACTGACAGCTAAAAATTTGCTACAGCTGTAGCTGGAAATACAAATAAGAGTGCTAAGAAATGCAACACAGTGCCCAAAGGCGACCTTTCTACTGAACACTTTAGCAGTCAAATGACAGATACAAAGCAGTATTTCAAGCAGTAGGAGAAAGGACAAGACCAGCCAATGACTCAAATGACTTCTCAAAAACTCAACTAACCATTACTTGACTAAAGTACCAGGCACAAAAGAAGGCTGTCATACTGAATCAGTATCATTTACCAACCTTCTCGGACGCTTTTGCTTGTTTTTTGTGCGGCTTTTTCTTGTTGGCTTGGGCAGAATCCTTCTCTGTTAAGGCAAGAGAAGAACAAAATGGCATTTCTCAGTATTTGGTGGTTACAATGAACTCAGAAACATGCACCTTTTCCCCCCACACTAGGTACCAATGCATGAAAAGCCAAAAATGCAGACTTAAGTATGCTGAAAGTTACATCAGCATTAGAAACTAGAGAACTAGAGTTGGCTGCAGAAGGTGAAGTGCTGTACTGCTATATTTTTTAATTACTACTCCTGTATTCAGGGCACTGAAATAGAAGACTTGTACTTCATCTCCTCTCTCCAAGAATACAACCACAGTATTTTACTATGTCTCATCAGCACTGTGAACACACTTCTTTGGGAACAGAAATCCCAGGGAATTTTAAACTTCTGTCAGACTGAGCCTCTGGTGGAAACCAGAGTAGTGAGCTGAGTTCCATAGACAGGTGACATCTTGAGATTGAAATGCTAGTTTTACTAGTAAGATCTATTGCACAATCCAGATCAAATCCTGGCTTAAATACAACCTGTTCCAAAATTAGGATCTAAATGTTAAGTCAGTAAAACTTATTTTATATTTTCCTACTGCAAGTGTAGACATTTTAAAATGTTCTAGATGCAGTTTTACCCACCTGCAGTATTTTCTACCATCACATCACAGCTTCTCCATGACTGTATTCATGATGGGGCTACCATTATCCAAATTAGGTCATGTCATACTCAAAATCACATGTTCCCTTCTAAAATAGATTACTGAATTGATAAGGAATTCTCAAGGGATTACAGAATCACAGAATCTAAAAAAATCACTGAATATGCTGAGTTGGAAGAGATGGACAAGAACCATCGAGTCCAGCTGCTGGCCCTGCACAGAACATCCCCACAAGTCACACCATGTGCTAAAGTATTGTAGAATCACCTCACAGCACTCAGTCAGGCTGGTGCCGTGACCATTCCCTAGGGGAACCTGTTCCTGTGCCCAACCACCCTCTGGGTCAAGAACCTTTAGGTGAAGTGAACCAGAGGCACCCCATTCAAATAAATCCTCTTGGTCATATAAAGACTCAGGGTAAGGTGCTCTGGGTCTAAGAATTGCATTAAAAATTTTCAGCTGGCTTCATTTTGATCAATTTTCCACTCTGCATACAGATCCCTAGTTTGCCCAACCCTTAAGTACTGCCCCAGAGATCCCTCCAACACCTTTTCACCTTAGCTCCTGCCATATATTTAGAACTTGCATGAGTTTTTTTCCCTCCTTTCCTAGTAAATTAAATTTTAAGTGCCTAGATTGCCTAAGTGTAGCCAAGTTCCTATTAATATTTGCTCCCTTTTATTTTAAGCTTTGTGTGTCAAACTTCTGAAGGAGTAAGGGTGGCCAGAGCAAAAAAGTTATATCCTTCATGAAACAACTTTACATCTCACCAAGTTTCCACTGCTGCCAGCTGAAAACATTTTAGCTAACATCCACCAGACACTCATTACATTTCCTGCTGGTACAATGAATTACTATCACTGTTACCCTGAATGGGTAATGCAACACTGGAACATGCCTGAGTCTGGACGAGATCACCTCCAGATATCCCTTCAAGTCACCATTTTTGTGATTCTAGGGTTTTTTTTACCTGAGCAATGAACACCACATGTTTTCCACTAAACTTCTTCTCCAGCTCCCGGACTAGCCGCACCTGAATCTTCTGGAAGGACTTCAGCTGAGGAACTGGTACAAAGATAATGATGGCTTTTCTGCCACCACCTACTTCAATTTCCTGAAACAAAAGTACAAAGTAAGCATTAACTGGGGGTTGAGAAGTAATGTTTGGTTTGACCATGAATCCTGAGCACAGGTATTGATAGTCTTGCTTCTGACTCTGTGGGGCAGGGAGTGCATCAGAGAGCAGTACCTGCCTTAATGCTCTACAGAGAAAGCACTGACACAAAAACTTTTATCAGAGTACTTGTTTCACTGTGGAGGAGTGATTGGGCCATAAATCCCACCACCCCTTTCAGAATCACATCCTCTGAACAGCAAATCCCATTCCTTCTGAAAGATGAGACTCAGGTGCTAGAACTGTAACTATACTGAATGTTGACTATCCCTTCTGCATTTGTGCTAATACAAAGTTTCAAAAATCAGTCTAACGCAGACTCCAAAGTTTAGGGGAACAAATCTTTTAATCTACTGCTTCATGGAAATCACTTATGTTGGCCACTTGCCTAGGACTGCATCCCTACTCAATCAACACATGTCACCCCTCCAAATACCAACAGGATTACAATACACTAGGACAGGTTACTTCTCCCCTGGTTTGTCTCTCCAGTAGTTAAACCCAAAGTTTGCACAGGCTTACAAGGCACTTCTCCCATGGAACTGGCTGCAGACACATCCTCATTCTCCAACAGAATGGAAGGATGGATTGTTCTTCACCAGCTACCTTCTCATATAAGCCAATTCAGATGCCATGGGAGATTTCTCACAAATAAAATCAAGCACCTAAGTAAACAACAAAGACTTTTCTGAAAGCATTTCACTAAGGACAGGTGGCATTGCTGTACTTCCAGAGAGATGTGGTTTCTTCTGAAGGCCATTCAGCTCATACATGATACATGCTGCTTCCTGCACTCCCAGCTTCTTTTAACTTGACTCTAAGCAGTCAGTGTTCCTGTGTCTGTACTGGTGAGGCTGGGCAAAAACCAAAGGCAGCCCAATAAAGTTTCTGATTGCAGTGACCTGCCTCATTGCTGTCATCCAGTCTCCCAGGCTGACAAAGTTTAACACTAACTTTCTTTCTCCTTTTCCACTAATTGCCTTCTTTTTTTTCTTTCTTGATGTTCCAGCTGCCTGCACGATCTAAAACTGGAAATGTACAAGGAGACTAAGCTGCACTATCAAGTCAATCCATTGCCTCAATCCATCTACTAACTGCACATAAAGAGATTCAAACAATTTTGTTTTTTATGAAGAGTACAGCAGTTTATGTTTTTAAGTTTCTGTAACACCTACATTTCCAGCCAGTATCTACATGGAAAAAGGAAGTTTCATACTCCAAACCCAGTCTGCAGAGACATAAAGTAGAATCATCGTTTTCAGACCAGCTCCTAAGAAAAACACTATTACAGAATCCTACATGCTAGCAGCAAATACCAGAAGAAAAGCTACAACAGCACATAACATAACTATCACAGGCCACAAGGGCCTAAGTCACCATTCACCTAGTACATTAATATCCCCAAAAATTAAACATACACAGAACAAGTCACCACCCAGCTCTTAGTGGAGAAGGTCCAGCCTACCTTAGCTGCTGTGATGTTCAACTCCCGCAGCTGAGCCTTTAAGTCGGAGTTCATTTCCAACTCCAGCAGAGCCTACAAAAGTGAAGTTGTGGAATGATCCATTACACACACTTCAGTTCATGAGAACACCTGAGAACAAAGTGTGTCCACAGTGCCAAAGAGCAGGTATAGACTCTTAACCGCAGTCAGTATCAAAGACTTAACTTCCTGTAAGACACACCAACATCCAACAAGTTTAACTAATGGAAACAGAGGAGGACTCAGTTCCCAAGTAAAACTAGGAAAGAAAAACACGTTGGCAGGACTAACCTCAAAGTTTAGGGTCTGGACAACTATGTCCATAACTTGAAGTGAGTTACCGAGGAGAACAAGGAAAAGCCACGTACCTGGGATATACCAGACTCGAATTCATCTGGCTTTTCGCCATTAGGCTTCACAATCTTGGCGCTAGAGCTGAACATGGCCTTTCTGCAACGCAAAAAAACACTCTGACTGTCACCAAGCACGTGTCACCTGCTCCAAACACAGCCAGGACTCCCCAGTCCGGCTGCGCAGCCACACGCTCCAGAACTAAGCCAGAGGCCGCCCCACGGGCCGGGCCAGCCCCAGCACGCCGCACCAGGGGTGATGACCAGGCCACAGGAACAGCGTCCCAGGGAGCGCGGGGCCTACCCACCTCGGGACCCGCTGCAAGGCCGCGGCAGCCCGGGGAAGCGGCCCCACCACGCACAGAGCCCCACGAGCGGCTCCACGGGCGAGCGGCACTCCCGGGCCTGCTCCCGGCCCCGGCCCCTCCTCCCGCAGGGCGCCGCCGGCCGAGGGAGGAGGGAAACCCCGCCGGCTGGCCACCCCCGGCCCCGGGTGCCCCGGCGGCCATCGGGCCCCAGGCTGGCGGTAATCGGGCGCATCCCGACGCCGCGGTGCTGCGGGGGGCTCCGCTCCACTCCCGGTCCCGTATCGCAACAGCCCCGGCGGGGAAACGGCGGCCCCGGCCCGGGCACCCACCTCGCTCCGCGCCGGCCAGGAAAAGGGGGAGCTCTCGCGAGAGCAGCACAGATCGCGGCCCGGGAAGGCGCTGGCCCCGCCCACCCGAGTGAAGCCAGAGCCGGAAGAAGGGCAGGGCGGCCGCTGCGAGCACACCGCAAATCCGCAGCAGTGAAGCCCGAGCGTACATTTAGGATCCTGGCGCGAGGGGCGCGGGCTGGCACATGCGCACTGCCGAGGAGCACGGTGACCTCCCGGCCCGCCTCAGCCCTTTGCGGTGGCTGCGGCAGGGAGCGAGGGAGAGGCGGGGAGCGAGGGAGAGGCGGGGAGAGCTTCCTCTGCTCGGCTCTGTTCCTCGCTGTTACGCCGAGCCCTCGCCGTGGGCAGCCCCCGCTGCACCTCTCGCAGCAGAACTTTCGGCCTGTGGTGTCGAGATGCCGCTCCTGTGAAGAGCCGGCAGAATGTCGGCGTTGGCACCGCGGTGCGCTCCGTGTGCGCAGCCCGCGGAGGAAGCGCGGCTCTGCCCGCGCCGCGGAGCTCCCCCTCTCCCTCCTTCCCTCTCCTTCTCCCTCCCTCCCGCCAGGGCTGTGCAGCCACCGCTCGAACAGCAGTGGGAGAGTGGATGGTGTTTTTCCCTGCCCTCTCCGTTACACCATTCCACGTTAATTTAGTACTGTGGGAGTTTACCCTTTCAGGGCGGAAGGGACGTGACGGAGCAGGGCTGGCACAGTCACCCCCGGCCTGCACCGTGTGAGGCGCTGTGCTGAGAACCACGGCCAAACCCAGGCCAGTGAGCGTGCTGGCATCCCGGGACTGTGGACAATCGCCTGCCAGCACAGGGCAGCCTGGCTTTGGTTTTTGTTTGCCTCTGCAAACGTGATCTCTCAGTTGCTTCCGCTAAGACAGTGTCCCAGTGATCACAGTTACCAGACTGTTACTAGACTAGAAATAATGCATGAGTCTTCAGCTGTGTTCAGGTACTACTAACTCAAGATGAGTGTTCTGGGGTCAACATACTCTGTCATCAGTGGAAGCACTATTATATACTGTGTTATTATCTAACAAATAACACTTGCACACTGATAAATTGAACAAGCTGTACTTTTTAATTTCGAAAGAAGTGACTTGCATGTTGATTCATGTACAAGTGCCTGGCTGTATGTCTATCTGAAGTGGAGCTAAAACCGTGCCTCGACAGAAAATCCCCATCTTGACATTTCCCTGTTGGCTGATTTAGGTTTCTTGTTCAAGGGTAAGTCCCACTTGGAGGCAGGTGTGCAACTCACCTGTCCAGGGATGTTAGGCCCAGGAATGGGGTTCGGAGCACTGGTTCTGTGCTTGGATTCCCTGGATTACTCCAAGACCAGCCAGCTTAAGCTTGTACAAACACAATTGCTATTAGCATGTAATGCTGTGTGTAGTCTCTCACTTTACAAAATGCAATAATGGAGTAATAAACCCTTGTAAACAACTGACAAAGACACCAGCATCCCACACTAAACAACCTTAGCATCTGCAAAATGCAGCTCATCATGTTTTCTAACATTTGTGGACTTTTCACTAAATTTATGATAGCCAGAAGACTGATTGTTCAGTGCTCATTTTTGTCCCAAGTCACTCTTCTTTCCTAGCATTAAGTCAATGAATGGGAAAAACTGCTTAGCTCATCCTGATGGTCAGGATTAGTATTTATAGAGATTTGGTTTGGCTAAACAACAGTGATCAGGACCTGATTGAAGAGTACCAAAAAGAAAAATAACATGGAATCGTCTCATCAGTCCAGCAGTATGCACTCAGTTTATACTGAGAAACCACGCATGAGAGGGAGAAAGAGCAGGTGATGTGTGGGTGGATCAAAACATGACTGTTCAGAGCATTAATGAATAAAGATGAGACTATCTGCAGCTTCCCATCTCCACATTATGAGTGCTGAACAGACCAGGATGCTGCATAACGGCAATGAGGAAAAAAGGTGTAGAGAGATGTTTCCTCTTGGACACTGAATTTATGTTAGGAGAAGGATGTAGAGTGATTAGTGTGCCTGGTACCCAATAATGCCTGGTAGTCAAAATATCTGACGGGTTTTTAAGAACCACTGTGGACCTGTGTGATCTTTAAAAGAAGTTATGTCACTACAAAGTAATGCAAGAAGGTTCTTATGCCATTCAGTCTCAGAATGGGCATGATGAAGAAGTGGAAAGAATAAGTTAGTCAGATGTGTAACAAAAGTATCCCAACAGCAGTAGGATGCAATGAGTATATGAAGTCTCACGAATGTGTTGGAAGAAGTACAGAAAATGCAGTAATTATATTTTCATACAACCCTGACCAAGTTGTTTCTCAGTTCCGCCAAGGCCTGTCAAACACCTAAAGTCTTCGGGTTTGGGGGTTTTTAAAGAGAAATGTTATCCAATTAATACACATAGTAATTATGTGTAATGTTGAGCCCATTTGTTGGTTTTGCAACAAGGCAAAATTAATGCCAATGTTTCACATTCCTGGCATTTTACTGGGCCACCCTTGTAGATCTGGACACAGCACTCTGCCACTCTGGCACCATCAGCTTTGTCACAGGGATCTGTACTAGAGCTGTGAGGGAAGTACAACAGCAGCTTGGATACCTCGGGCTGGTTCTGGAGTGGCCACAGCAGTGCCCCCATCTTTGCTACTCTGATCTTGTCAGAAGCTGAGGTACTGAATTTGGCACACGCCCAGCTCCCAGCTTTGGTCTCCCAGTACATGACAGTCCAGGTGCTAAGAGGATGGTGCCAGACTCTTTTTGGTGGTGTTCAGCGACAGGATGAGGAGTAGTGGCCATAAACTAAAACATGAGAACTTTCACCTCAACATGATGAAGTTTTTTACATTGAGAGTGGGTGTTGCCTGGGGAGGTCGTGGAATTTCCCTCTCTAGAGCCATTCAAAACCAGGACGTGCTCCTGTGCCACCTGCACCAGCTGACCAGCCATGGCAGATGATGTCCAGGGGTCCCTCCCAACCCTAAGGACCCTGCGATTCTGTGAAGGTGTTTCTCCTCACTCCAGAGGCCACCTCGCCGCAGGGCTCAGCTGGATGAGAACCAGCTTATCAACCTTGTTCAGCTCCAGCCTCTCGGACGTGCTGAACATGTCAGCGCACCTGAGAGGTCTCCTTTGCCTTTTAGAAATGGGGCTTCCAGAACGAGGTGGCTCGTGCAAAGCCGCTGCGACCTCATGCCCCAAACAACAGCTGATTTCGGTTTTAAAAACACCATTATTGGCGGGGGGAGGGAACAAAACCAACCAAACAAAAACGCCAATCCGTACAAAACCCTGCGCTGTAGCATTTTCTGGTACTTTGGTCTCTCTGGCGGCCCGTAGGAGGCCCCGGCGCTGCCGTGAGGGCGGCGGCCGCGCAGGCGCAGCGGTGCCGGGGGCCGCGGATAGCGGCGGGGCCGCGGGATGCTGCGCTGGCTCGTGGCCGTGCTCAGCCACTCGTGCTTGGTGCCCAGGGCCGGCTCCATGTTCTACGCCGTGCGCAAGGGCCGGCGCACCGGCGTCTACCGCACCTGGTGAGCGGGGAGCGAGGGCTGCGGTGGAGCGGGGAGCCCGCCCGGCCCGGCCTCACCGCTGCCCGCTGTGTTGCAGGGCGGAGTGCCAGGAGCAGGTGAACAAGTTCCCCTCCGCCAGCTTCAAGAAGTTCGCCACCGAGAAGGACGCCTGGGCCTTCGTGCGCGCCGGGCTGCCGGGGCCGCAGCAGCCCGAGCCGGCAGGTAGCGCGTCCCGCCGCCGGCACGGAGGGGGAGGAGGGCGGGGGTCCCGCCGGGGGCTCGGGGCAGGCACGGCGGCTGAGCCCGCGCTGCGGCTGCTGCCGGAACGCGGGCACCGGCCCCTGCTCATTCCTCGTCACTGGCTCGGCGCCATGGCCATGCCCTCCGGACACGGGATGGATGTGCCAGTGCAGTGAAAGTGTTTCTGTGGTGTTTGGAGAGCGTTGCTTGCTCTATGTGTTAAAGATGTAAGGGCCCTTGCATGTCTGTTTCCGCAGACTTAGGATGAAGAATGACTGGAGTATTCTATTTCTTTTCGATAATAGTTTGGCGGCGCGGGGGATGTCAGATAACAGACTAACACTGCTAATAGTTGCTAACAACTGTTGTCTTTAGAAGCAGTCGTTTCAAATAAAATAAAATTTGATTCTGCTGAACTTCCTAACTTCCTTTTTTTTTTTTTCTTTGGTAGAGGCATTTGGTCCTCCAGTTGTAACACAAGAAAATGGTAGCCAGAGAAAGGAACCAGAATTAAATACCATGTGTTGCAGTACATGTAAAAGGCCATATGAACAGTCTACAAATGAAGAGCAGATTGCAAAGCGTGTGAAACATGATGAAGTACACTCAGTGTGCTCAATACCAGCAGTCAGTGAAGATAAGTTTTCATATATGGGTGAGGTCTTTGATCATTCCTTTAATTATTTCATTGCTTGTCGCAAAGAATAAACCAACAAGTGTAACTATTAGAAAACTTTTAGAGAAGTTTGTATATGGGCCTTAAGCCCATTATTTCTTTTTGAAATGAAAATATGAACGATTATCTATTTGTTCACATCTTTCAGTGTAGTTTTGATTGGTTTTTACTGGTATGAATATATAGCTTAATCATAGTGTTATAGGTGTGATTTTATGTGTGTCTGGGCTAAAGATTGGATGTAGCTTTGAAGTTTTGAAGAAGACTTGAACTGTAGTGAAAAGTATGGGACTTGGGGCAGAAGTTCTTCTTGAGGCTGGCTGGTTTGACAGCAGTGAGGGTGTCAAGCTGCAGTGGGACTTGTGGTGCTCTGCACTGCTAATTCACATGGCTTCTGCAGTTACCTTTTAGAAGGGCTCTCTGGGGAGGGAAGTTTTGGGGCTTAGTATACTGGCAAACATTTCTTCTACCTTAAATAGTCAGTGTTTTTGAGGAAGTGCTGATTTTGGTAATTTTTTTGTAGGTGACTTTGCAGTTGTTTATACAGATGGTTGTTGCTCTAGTAATGGACGTAAGAGGGCACGTGCTGGTATAGGTGTCTACTGGGGACCAGGCCACCCTTTGTAAGTAGCTCAATGGAT